CAAGCATTTTAGAAGCCCATTTATTATTCAAAAAATATGTTCTATTAACAAGGAGTGCACAGGCTTTCTGTGCATGTATGTGTGTGCGTGCGTGCCTGCGGGAAAACATTTGAAAGTCCTGATTGATGAGTAGGGAATATTAACGATTAATGATTGACTGTGGGCCACTGGTTAGTGCTTTTTTGATGAATTTTTATGCCTCTATTTTTCATCATAATGGATTCAAGTATAATAATAAATCTAAACTGAAGATGACATTAAAGTGTGTGATGTTGCTATATTATGACATTTTCCATTTTTATAATTGTGGACTACCTTGATTTCCAGTTTCAATAGTGTTTTATATAACCTTAATAGATCTTGGTCTTTGATGACAATTATTGACGGTCAGTGACTGATTGAAGTCTGGAGAAGGTTCTTGCCAATATTTGCAATACATGCACAAGGTTAGGTTTCATTCAAACCCCAATGCCACAGGACTCTGCCCGTGCAGCTGTAAATAAACTGCAGCAAAGAGATGGCCTTGATCTTTCATTTTCCTTGTCTGAGAAGAATCCAAAAAAGCAATGTCCGCTTGTCTCGTTCAACTGTCTCGTTCAACTGGGGCATAGAGACCATGAAAAAGGCAACCACTCAACTAAAATTGCAGCGGTGTATGAGTGTTGAACTAGAGAATCCAAACCCATGGATGTTCACCATCAATGTTGTTGTGATGTACTGTATCAGAAACATCTGACACCAACACGAACCATGTTTGAACTGTTTTTTTTTTTAAGGTATAAAAAAATCTGAATTCTCACCTTCTATCCATCCATTTTCTATACCATTTGTCTCCATTAGGGTCACGTTGGAGCTGGAGTTTATGTCAGCTGACTTTGGGTGAGAGACAGGGTAATAATAATAATAATAATAAAAATAATAATACATTTCATTTAGAAACACCTTTCAAAACACTCACGGACACTTGACAAGCAAAACAAGAACAATAAAACCACAGATACAATTATAAATAATAAAAGGAGAGATTAATTTAAACTGAATATGCGATTTTCAATAGCAACATAGCACATGGTCGGGCAGGGAGGCCTGTGAACCCAAACACCAATGAATGACACAATGAGCAACAGGTGTGCCACTGCAGGAAGAGCCCTACAGCGCCACCTGTTGGTCACCAACAAAACAACACCTCCAAAGACTTTCTTCCATTTTTTTTTCTTTTTTAAAAAAAAGGGAAGTTCAGACGATGATCGCTCGACACGTTTGTATCATGTTCTCTTCCTTCAAATCCACACATGAGCGACCGGCCGTCGGATTGTTTTGGTTGGTGTGCTCAGCGTGCAGTAACCTAAGCGTCCGGACGACGGCGCCAGGCTCGCAGCCATCCGCAGCACGCACGCACACATGCGGCCACTCCAGCCCAAGGAGCGCCAAAGTCGCGCAGCGCCGGAGGCCTTATAAAGACAAAACAGCGCACAGACAGAGGAAGAGAGTGAGAGGCGACCGGTCGTCAGGTTGTTTTGGTTGGTGTGCTCAGCGTGCAGTAACCCAAGCGTCCGAACATAAGCGCCAGGCTCGCAGCCATCCGCAGCACGCACGCACGCACGCACACATGCGGCCACTCCAGCCCAAGGAGCGCCAAAGTCGCGCAGCGCCGGAGGCCTTATAAAGACAAAACACGCCGCTCGCACACACGCACGCCGCCCAGTAAAAAGCTGCAGTCCACCCAAGAAGGGCATGCGCTGGAAACGCGCGTGTCTCTTTGGACCTCAAACCCTTGTGAGGACATCTCACGAGGAAGGCCGCGTTGGTCGAACGTCGGGGTGGCCGTTTCGAACGCGCTGCGGACATTTCAAGACGGGGGGCGGAAACTTTTCCGCAACGCGCCGGTCGCCCAAAGCCTTCCCGAGACAAAGTCGAGGATTCGGAACAGGCCGACGGCAATTTCACTGGGATGCGCGCTTGAGAACGGCGCGCGCCGCACCCTGCTCGCCCGATCGCAGATCAGCGCCAAAAAAAGAACAAAACCAAAAAAAGCGCACAAGCACATTTTGATTTGGAAAATGCTCCAGAAACAGGAAATTCCCCACTCTCCCTATTCTCGGCCGCACACACACGCACACACACACACGGTTCATTTAATACACACATGGTTCATTTACTGCACTCGTGTGTGTGAGTGTGTGTGTGTGAGTGTTCTGGCTGGTCTTGACCATATAAGGAGTTTAAGTTTCCTTTTCCCTCCGACATCTGACACAGACACCAGCGCTCGTGTGTGAGAGCACGTGCGTGTGCGCGCGCGTGTTTAATGGGATGTTCTTTGTGCGTGTGCGCTTGCGTGATTTATGGCTGCCCCCCCCCCCAGTGAGGAACCCCTCCTGAGCCAATCAGTTGTTTCGTCGAATCCGAAAAGCTCCTCCACATCTTTGATCTTTCGCGAGCACTCGCAAGTCGCCGCGACGCTGGGGGTCAAAGTTGGGGTCACGGTCATGGTCGTGGTTGTCCAAGTGGTGGCGGTCAAGTCGCGAGGGTGCGCTTGTTTTGCAAGCACAACTCGTTGTTGTTCACCACGGCGACAACCACTGCTGTTCTTCCGGTGGATTGTTTGCATGTGCTGGATACTTTTGCCGCCCTGCACCTCCCCCATCATCATCATCA